TCGAACCCCCCGCTCGAATCCGGAAAAGGAAAGGGCAAAAGGGAGAAGTTCGACCCCCCCCCCGTTGGATCCGAAGGGGGGGGGGGTCCAACCCCCCCCCCCCCTTCCAAACGCTCGCAGAACGCGCTCTGCCTTCGGACCGGAAGGAACAGGAGGGAAACGAAGAGCGGGAAGCGAGAGAGCAGCGGGAGCGAGGCGGCCGCCCCCGCGCGCAAGCGCGGGAAGGCCTTCGGCCTCAGGCGGGGGACGCGCCGCTGGCCCCGCCCGCCGCCACCCGAGGGGAGCTCCGCATTCGGGCCGAGGTGCTGCCGCCCGCGCTCACGGCCCGAGGGGTGCTCTCCACTCGGGGAGCGGGCGCCGGCGCCCGCGGCGGCCAGCAGCACTCGGACCCTTCTCGTCGAAGGTCAGAGCCTTTCTCGATGGAGGCGCCCCGAGGAGCGGGCCACTGCCACTGGCAACAGACGATCCACCACCACCTCGCGGCGCCCCGAAGAGCGGGCCACTGCCGAAGGAATAAGCTGCCCTCTCGGCGCAAGCCAGCTCAGCCATCACCTGAGGCGCCCCGAGGAGCGGGCCACTGCCCCTGGTAGTAACCACACCACCACCACCACCACCTCGCGGCGCCCCGAGGAGCGGGCCACTGCCGCAGAACTGTGCCGCCTGCTTGGTCGCGAGCTCCTCAGCCTCGAAGGACGGGTCGTTTCCCCCACTATCTATCACAGGCTGTGGGCAACTGTCTGGACGCGCACATGTGTCCTGGGGAGCCGCTCCCAATGGGACTGCCTCCCCTGGACTGCCCCTCGACTTGGCAGCTCGCAAGCCAGCGGGTGCTCCTGCCCTCGCTTACTGACCTGCGCCGCGCTGCCTCGCTGTCCTCATGGTGGCGGCCTGAGAACCAGCGGGCGCCGCTGCCATCGATTGCTGGTCCTCGCCGCTCCTCGGGAGTTCGGGTCGTACAAATACGCGATCGGCTGGCAGACCGCCCGCTGGCGACGAGCTCGACGCGCAGGAGGTGGCCGTCCCTCCCCCGCCCACCTCGCCGCCAGCCCCCTTTCTGGGACGTCTGCGGGGCGCATTCAGACACCTCCCCCTCGCCGTCAGGACTCCACGCCACCACAGCCTCACTGCTGTCCATCGCCCGAGGAGGCGTCTCCACTCGGGGCAAGGCGCTGCTGTCAGCAGCGTCACGCAAGAGGCGCACCTTATCAGCAAAATCTAGCTGCCTCCTAGCTGCCACCTCATAGGGCTGGCTGCGCAGCTGCTGCGTCTCACGGGATCCGTTCACCGCAGGCGCATCACCACCATCGTCACGGGCATGCCGAGCGGGATTCCTCCCCGCGTCAAGCCTCTGGGCAGCGTGGCAACCATCACTTGGCACAAGCTACGTGGAGCTCGCCGGCAGTGCCCTGCCCCGCGCGCTGTTTACCACATGGGTGCACCTGGGGGGCAGGTCCTGGCAAAACCTTCGGCGACTGAGACCAGCCCCATCGAGCCTATTCCCTCATGGGTGCACCTGGAGGCTGGGACTCGCGTTCTCACGCCTGCTGCCTCATGCTCCGTGACGGCAGGGGCGTTGGCGAGCTCGAGGTTCGGCCGATCCCCATCACGGATCAACCCGCAGCCCCCGCCGCCCGTTCATGCCCAGGCGCTGGGTGACGACAGTGTCCCCAGTCCAGAGGGATGTATGTACATCTCTGGCCACCTGGGTGAAACACTTGTCCGACGCCAGGGCCAGTGGCGGCAGCCAGAGGGTCCCCGCAACTCCTTCTCCTCTTTTGACGACGCGCGGGGCGGCCCAACGACTGGAGCAAACCATGCCGCCTGCTGCCTCATGCTCCGTGGCAACAAGGGCTTTGGCGAGAGCCGCTTTGGGACCAACGGCTCGCGCGGGGTCAGGCCGATCTCCCTCACGGATCGACCCGCAGCCCCCGTCATCCGTACATGCGCGACTGGTCTCCGATCAAGTAGCTGTCCCCACTCCACAGGAATGCACCTCCCTGGCCACCTGGGGAAATACTGGTCCAGCAACAGGGACAACAGCAGCCAGAGGACCAAACTTGGCAGCTCCTCCTCCTCCATCGGCGATGTGAAACGACCCTGCGACTGGGACAGACGGTACCAGCACGCTTGGCCACCGCCTTTCGGACTCGCGCTCCTCGGGGAGGTCGCTTGGCCCCGGCGGCCGAGTGTAGCACCAAAGAAGCAGCCTTGCCCCTTTTCCTTCCTGGCAGTTTTGGGCCACGCTCCTCGACGAATCCTCTGCAGGCAGCACCTGCCGCAGCGCGAAGGCAGCCCACGACACGCGGCCCCAAGGCCCCTGCCCAGGAGGCCCTCCGCTGCTGCTGCGAAACCAAAAAAAACGCAGCCGTCGCAGACCCACGCGTCCAAGCCCAGGTGGAGCCTGTGCGGGGTGTGCGGGCTGCCGCTGCCGATGTGGACGACGCCGCTGGCGAGCTGCACCGCCCCGTCGTCTGCCGCCCGCAGGTCGGGACAGGGAGGGAGGAGCCAGGACGCGCGAGTGGAGTGCGATGCTGGGCAGCGACAGCGGTTGCAACCTCCACTGTCGTCCACCTTATGCAGGACACGGAGAAACAAAGAAATTCGTCACGAAAAAAGCAAACCCTGTGGCGCCTCACCGTTTGCCTGAGTGAGAACGGAGGGCCAGGAGCAAGGGATATGATGCAAACACAGATGATCGGACATGGAAGGGCTGCTCGAGACCCGAGCCAGTTCAAACAAGGAAGGCACTGGCCTTCCCGAGCGCGTCCCGAACTCAATGAGTTCCTGCTGCGTTGCTGTATTGGGTCTGCGGCAGGATCAGCAGCAGGCATATGGAATGCTACGATGCCAGGGCACATGTCAGATGTGCGCGAAGCCAAAACGTTCACGGTCAACGAAGCATGCACTCAAATGGGTCAGGGCCTTTGGCTGTGGGGGGGAAACCCATATCGCAATGCGAGGGGTCATCCCGCTATGGCGCACCAGTGTTCGGCACAAGCGTTACAGGATCGTGGCATCATAGCACCAATCGGATACTGGGTTGCGTGCGTGCCCAGAACCCACGGCGAAAACGAGTTCTCGTTGAACTGGAACACTGTACGTGCGCATGCACCTCCAAGATTGCATGAATACCCAGGCGTGTCGCTGCAACTTTGACTCAATCTCAGGAAACGCCCTGGGAGGAGGAGGAGGTGGACGACAATGACGAGGAGGGATGGAAGGAAAAAGCGCGGCGACGACGAGGGGGGAGGAACGGACCGCGAGGGAGGCGGGCCGACGCGTAGCGGCCTGGGAGGCCGCAGCAAGTGTGAAGCAGAAAGGGTGGAGGAAGCGAGGCGGATCATCAACGGTTCCCCGAAGACGAAAACAATGGTGCCGTCGGCAGCGGCTCAAACGAGATCGAAACCGGGTTTGCCGAGGCCAATCGCGAACTCAGGAACGGTTGCGGGACGCCACCACGGCGCCAAGGGACATCGGCAAGGCGCCCATGTCCACATCGGGAGGGGTGGCGGATATGTGCGCGAGTCTGACAGCCTGGAAACGAGACAATTCGAAGACAGCTCAAGCGCCAAGAGTCCGCTAACAGAAGCGGTGCAATCGTACTGCGGGGGAGGGGGGGCTCGAGGGCGCCTGCGCTGACCCAGATCGGAGATATCCCTGGGGCCAGGACGCGCGGAGTTTTCCACAAACCTTGGGGCGACCGCCGCACAGCAGAGACTAGAACAGCTGAACCACGTTCTGGAGCTCGAGGCGATGCGTAAGGAAACCGAGAGGCAAAACAAATCCTGAAGGGAGAGGGGAGGAGGAGGAGCGGAGGGGGAAAACCATAAGAACACGCACGCACGCACGCACGCACGCACGCACGCACGCACGCGCACACGCACACGCACACACAACCACACACACACACGCACGCACACGCACACGCACACACGCACACGCACACGCACACGCACACACGCACACGCACACGCACACGCACACGCACACGCACACGCACACGCACACGCACACGCACACGCACACGCACACGCACACGCACACGCACACGCACACGCACACGCACACGCACGCACGCGCACACGCACACGCACACGCACACGCACACACGCACACACAGACACACACAGACACACACACACACACACACACACGCACACGCACACGCACACGCACACGCACACGCACACGCACACGCACACGCACACGCACACGCACACGCACACGCACACGCAAACACGCACACGCAAACACGCAAACACACACACACACACACACACACGCACACGCACACGCACACGCACACGCACACGCACACACACACACACACACACACACCGAGGGGCGAGTGGCAGCCGACGCCGGCTCCTTGGCGTCGGCTGCGGCCCAGCTCGGCTTCGCGTCCGTCCCTCTCTCTGCCTGTCCCATGGGCCCTCGGCGGCCGGCGGGCGGCCCCCCCCCGAGGAGAAAGCTCGAGGTCGAAAAGGCTCTCCTCCTGCTCGAGCTCCTCGTGTTGATCGGGTTCCTCGATCCCGTTCTTCTCCACCTCCTCTCCCTCCTCCATCCCCCCTTCCTTCTCCTCATTCAACTCCTCGTCAGATTCCTTCTCCTGCATCCTCCTCCGTTTCCTCCGGCTCGCCCTCCGCTATATTACTCTCCTGGCTCCTGCTTCTCACGCTCTTCCTGTTCCATCCGCCAACATTGTCTTCCATTTATCCTCCTCCTCCTCCTCGTCCTCGTCCTCGTCCTCCTCCTCCCCGTCGTCGTCGTCGTCGTCGTCGTCGTCGTCGTCGTCGTCGTCGTCGTCGTCGTCCCCCTCCTCCTCCCCGTCCTCTTCCTCCTCCTCCTCCTCCTCCTCCTCCTCCCTATTCCTCCTTCCCGTCCTCCTCACGCATCCCGCCGTTTCCTTCCAGCTCCTCCCTCTTACCCTTCCTTCCCCCCCTCGTCCTCCCTCTCCCTCGACCTCGTGGCCAGGCCCCCACGCCACCGCCGCGGATGGCCTGGGCGTCGTCCTGATCGGCCCTGCCGTGCATCATCAGGTCGGTCGTATATTCGAACCTGGCAGGGTCTCGAAGGGGAAGGAGGGAGAGGAGGCGGGGACATGAGGCTGACGAGTGTGTAGGTAAACTGAGGAAAGGAGGCGCAATGGTTGCTGATGACAGAAGCGATGCCGACGCCGATGCCGATGATGGGGATGCTGATGGTGATGACGGTAATGATTGTCGTGCTGATGACGATAATGATGGCGACGCTGGTTATGATGAAGTTGGTGAAGATTGGGAGGCAATGTTGGTGGTGATGGTGATGTCAATTCCAAAGCCGATGGCGATGACAATGGTGGTGGTTACGATTATGTTGAGGACGATGGGGGTGCTGTTCCTGATGTTGTTGCCGATTCCGATGATGGTGATGATACTGACGGCGGCCCTGATGGTTATGAGGATGGTGAGTGGGGAAAGTAGTGATGATAGCGAAACCGATACTGATGACAATTACGAGAATGATGGCGATGACGACGACGATGGCGATGCTGATTACGACGATGGTGATGTTGACGGTAATGGGCATGTTGGTGCCAATGGTTATGGCAATGTTGCTGAATGTGACGGCGATGGTAGTGATGACGATGATGACGATGGCGATGGTAAGGCTGACAATGCGGCTGATGAGGATGGTGGTGACGACGATGACGATAGTGGTGATGGTGATAGCGATGGTTCGGGTGATAGTGTTGGTGATGCTTTTCATGGCGATTGTGGACATGATTTTGATTATGATGGTAACTATAATGATGCGAATAGTGATAGCACTGGTGATGGTGATGGGGATGAAAATGATGATGATGATGCTGATGATGCTGCTGCTGCTGCTGATGATGATGATGATGATGATGGTGCTGATGATGATGCCGGTGACTTTTCCAACAGAACGCACGTACCATTGTTCGTCCGCCACAGTCACTGCCAGGGCGCGCCGCCAGGCGGGCGCGCGCCCAATTCGATGGATGGGGGAGGAAGCAACACGCGTGGGAGGAGGGGGGAGGGCATATGCTGACGAACGCCAGCGCCTGCTCAAGCTTCACCCTCCGCGCGAAGGCACCGAGGCTCTTCCTGCTCGGAGGTGTCGCCGCTGGGCCGCCCGCCCACTAAGGCGGCGAGAGGCAGCGACCGCAGGCGGGGGGGTGCACTCGGAAGAACGGGGGGACAGAGCTACGGCCCCGCAGGGAGCGGCGATTGCGCTCGCCGCCCCCGCCCGCGCCCGGAGACCCGCGGAGGGGCCCGGCTGCAGTGCTGATCCTGGCCCCCAAGGGAGAGGCTCGCAAGTCGCATCGTCGACGGGCGCAGGGCGGGCGCGGCGGAGGGGCTGGGCGGGGGGGGTCGGCCGCGCTCGCTCGCGCGCGCCGCCGCTCGCCCCCGCCACCTCGCCCCAGACCAAGGAGTACCCGACCCAACAGTGCACCGCGGCGCGCGGCGGCAGCGGCTTCGCGGAGCAGCAGCAGGGTGACGCGCAGGACAGGGCGCGCAGCGACATCGCCAGCGACGACGGCAGCAGCCGCAGGGGAGCAGCACGGGGGAGGCAAAAGCGAGGAACAACAGAAAACGGAGGCCCCAACATCGCACCGCCCCGCAGTCCAGTGGGGCAGCAGCAGGGGCGCGAAGGGGGCGGACTTTCACGTGGGGCCCAGGACCCATACAACCACAATACTATGCGTCGCCAGGCTCAGCACGCCCAAAGACATATCTCCCCCAGCACTTTGGGCGCAGGTGGTCTAACGATGTCTGTCGTTCCTCATCCGAAATCCCCTGTTCCCCTTCGGGGAAGGGTCTCCACCCCCCACCCCCTCCCCTGGACCTGGACGGGGGGGGCGCGAGCTGGCAGAGGGCCCCTGTCCTATCAAGATGACTCCAAGATGGCCTCATAGAGCCCAAGATAACCTCCAAGATAACTCAGGATAGCCCAACACGGCTCCAGAAAACTAGCAACATGCTCCCAAAGGGCTCCAAGAAGGCCACAAGACGGTTTCAGGTGCTCTCAAGGCTCCCTCGGGCCCCACCAAAAAACCGAAGGCAAATAAATGATGTGCACCTTCTCGCCTTTTCGCTTCCAATGCGCTTCTCGCTTTGCGTACCTCAAAACGGCCCCAAGATTCGCCCCAAAAAGCTCCGAGAGGGGTCCAATGAGCCCCCAAGGACGGCCCCAAGAGCGCCCAAGATCGCCCCAAGAGCGCCCCAGGAGGCGATAATGATGGCCCCGGAAAGGGGGTGCAAATCGATGACTCCCCCTCCTTTGATCGATCGTCTCCAAGACGGCCCCAAGAGGCGCTCCATAGCTCCCAAGAGGGTCCCAAGAGAACGCAAAGAGAGCCCTGGAAGAGCCCCAAGAGGGCCCCATGAGGAACACAAGACTCCCAGAGAGCCCTAAGAGGGCTCCAATATGCCCCCAAGCGTTTTAAGAGGACTCCAATATCCCCCCAAATAGCCCGGTAGCTTCAAGGCCTCCGATGCTCCGATGCAGCCTCCAAGATGGGTCAACGCTCTCCTCCTTCTCCCCTCTTTGCACGCTCTTTTGCACTACGTGCGTCTCTCTTCTTAATCCCAGGTGATCTAACGATAGAATTCGTTCCTCTTCCCAAATACCGTCTTCCCCATCGCCCCCCGCACACACACACAAACACACACAAACACACAAACACACACAACACACAACACACAACACACAACACACCACACACCACACACCACACACCACACGCAACACGCAACACGCAACACGCAACACGCAACACGCAACACGCAACACGCAACACGCAACACGCAACACGCAACACCCAACCAACGAACAACGCACAACGCACAACGCACAACGCACAACGCACACGCACGCACGCACGCACGCACGCACACACACACACAAACACACACACACACACGCGCACACAGACAGACAGACAGACAGACAGACAGACAGACAGACAGACAGACAGACAGACAGACAGACAGACAGACAGACAGACAGACAGACAGACAGACAGACAGACAAACAGACAGACAAACAGACAGACAGAAAGACAGAAAGACAGACAGACACACATACAGACACACACACACACCTTCCCCTGGGCCTGGGCGGGGGGGCAGGCGAGGGATTGAAGCGCCCAAAATGGCCGAAGTTGACTCCAAGAGGGCCTCCGATGTTCCATGTGGCCTCCAAAATCGCCTAAGATAGCCTTGCGCGGCTCAAAATAGCTAACAACATGCCTCCAACAGGCCCCAAGAGGGCCACGCGACGGATCCAAGTGCTCATGGAGACCCGCCAGGACCCCCCCCGAGAACCCCAAATCAATCAAAAGCCTCAGCGAATCAATGGTGTTGGCCATCTCGCCCTTTCGCTTCCGATGCGCTTCTGAGGCCTCAGGATGGCACCAAGAAGGCCCAATATAATTCAAAGAAGGGCCCAAGAGGCCCCCGAGACGGCCCCGGGACCGACGGCCCCGAGACCGGCCAAGATCGCCCCATGAGGGGCCCAAGAGCGCCCCAACGGCGATCTTGATGGCTCTTAAGGGGGGTGGGGGGTGGCTGAATAAGGGACCCCCCTTTTGATCGACGACCTACAAGATGGCCCCAAGAGGCTCTCCGAAGCTCCAGGGAGCGGCCCAAGAGCGCCCCAATAGGGCACCAAGAAAGCCCCAGGACCCCCCAAAGGAAACCCAGGAGGACCCCAAGACCGCCTGAAAAAAGGCCCCATGAGAGCTCCGAGAGGCGATCTTTGAACCGAGGGGGGGGGGGGGGGCGCCGGCCCATTCAGGGATGCCCCGAAGAGGCCATCCAAGGCAGCCCCCTTGCTCCCAGAAGTCTCTCGGTTCACCCTGGTTGCTCGCTGTGTTTCCTTAGATGTGTCTCTTCGTCCCTTTTCCCGTCAGCCACCATGGGCAGGGCGTCTGACTGGGCTGGCGGGGATGCGCGAAGCGCGAAGAATTCAAACCCGAAGTACACGGCACCACAAACAAAAACAGGACAGGACGCGGACCGCGCGGCACTTGGGGCCAGAGGGCGAAGCTGCTGTTACAGGGGCCCGCAGGCGAGGCGAGGAGCAAGACCCAGGGCGCCACGGCTGGGCCGAAGTCAGAAAGAACGCGCCGCCGAAGGCCCGGGGGCGCGACGCTGCCCCGCAGAGCGCCCAAGGATGGCAGACAGTCGGAGCGGCCCTCGCAACAATGTCTCTTTCCAGGGGCACGCAGCGGCCGCGGCCCATTGGGCGCGCGCTCTTCCCAGGCGAGAGATGCGCAGCCCTTTCAGACAACGGCCGAATTCGAGATGGGAACAAAACGGAACCAAGCCCCGCCAAAAGGATACGGGGAACAAATGCCACTGGGGCCCCTGGGTCAGGATCGCCCGCGGAGAACAGAACGAAAGCCCACGCATCGCCTGGCCAACAGCCTCAGGCGAGCGAGACAAACATATGGCGGAGGGAAGCAGTGCCTAGGCGGTGGTGCGCATGTGTCTTCAGGAACGCACCATGACAATCACCGTCAGCGATGTCACAACCGAGCCCCCACGCAGGTCCCAGGAAAGCCAACATCGAGAACCGAGACTCGTCGCCGACCAAGCGCCCCCTCCAATGTCCCCGGCAGGTTCTGAACGCACGGGGCCCAAGAGATGCCTCGAGACTTGAACGCTGGGCAGCGCGCACAGCGGTGTGAAGGTCGCCAGGCCCCCGCGCCGGAAACAACGACCTCGGTCCACGCAGTGGGGCCTGGCCGGGGGGCAAGCACCCTATCACAGATCCTGAGAATGCCCATGAGAGGGTGGGTCCACGCGGCCTTTTCGAGAAGCCTGAGCCGTGGCTGCAGGCGACAGATCACAAGCGCCCCGACATCCACGAGCCAGCTCCCCGCGGGTGGAGCAGGGTCACGGGCGCTCGAAGCCCTCGGAGATACCCGCGCGCCCTGCGCTGGATCCCCCCATCCCCCCGCGCCGCGCCCATCAGCATAATGCTGGGCGAGAGATTGAAGCGGCATTCCCATTCGCGCATCAAATCATCGAGTTCCTCCACAAGGG